GGCAAGTTTCAGTGAAAAATCATACATGTACTTACTTTTAATTTCATAAAGCAGTGCCTCTATTCCTGGCTTGGGCGTGGCGTTGATAGTTAACTGATAGAATTGTCTGTTAATGAAGTCCCACATTGCAGCGCATGGCTCGGCGTAGGCCATATTAAAAACATGGTATGCTTTAAAACATATATCCACAGCTTTCGCGAAGTTGAAAACTTTGTAAATTATGTTGTCAAAGTCAATCATGAATGATTGTGGCTCATCTAGGGTTCCAATTAATGATATGAAGGGGGCAATAGATGATTCTGCCTGGACTTTGCAATCATACATTTGTTTATATTCCGTTTCAGTTGCGCAAACAACCATAAAACTCGCTAGTGACTCTTTGATAGAATAGAGCCATTTTTTTGCATTAGTCTTATTATGAGCTAGTCGAGAGCGTGGCAGCAGTGACTGTAAAATAACAAAAGCTTTGGCGCAAATGGAATCTAAGTTGAGCAAAACATTTGTAAATAGAATCAAAAACAAGTAAGGTTAAAATATTTCGTTCCTGGTTATGTGGTTATATTTTTAACTCAGTTTACAAAAACAAAATACACAGCCAAATACCAAAATACAAAATTTTAACCAGATAACCAGGCAGGAGTGAATACCCCAAGAGTGTGTTTACCTTCTGAGAGATTGACTTTGTTTTTCTTTATTTTGTAGTACATATTAGCATAATCTTTGAATTCCTTGATATGATTCGGAAAAACTTTATCAACAAGCAAATCGCAAAAAGCAGTGAGGTTATCAAGAACCTCATTTCTGGTTCCGAAAAAGAACACAAAATCAGACTCAATCTAAAAAAAAAATATTTTATTAAGAGAAAATAAATAAGAATGCGCTTTAGCCTTACCAAACGAAAACCATCAGGCAATTTGTACTGCGGCCAAACATCAAATATATGTTTTGGATTATTCTCTGCATCTCGAATGCTGTTCATACTTGTTGCAGCACACGCGCGCCAGTGTCTGATTTTTTCCTGATAAGCCATTGCATGGAGGTCATGTGTCAACGCTCTAATATGTTCGTCCTCATCTTCCCCTATTGAAAATGACGTCTGCTTTTGTTTTTTCGAATTACCGTCTGATGTCTTTGTCTTTTTATTGAAATTTGCTTTCCAATTCCTGAATTTGTTGTACAACTTGCCCAACGGAGCTGCGTTTTTTCGCTCAAGGTAATAGTATGACTGAAAGGGTAAAATTAATTTTAATGCTCATTTTGTGATAATTTTTTACGATATAATCATATATGTAATACTCCTATATTGGCAGTAAGAGCTAGTACCGTCCGAAAACATTACAGTACAGATATATCAATAAACACGTACGAAAGAAAAGGAAGATATACCCCTGCAAAAAGTGGGACTAGGTTAAGTACTAGTACAGGACTACGCTACCTTGTAACCAACACTAGTAACCAAAATGGTCCAAATATATGGAGAAAAAATGGTAACATTAACATTGCTATGTCATTGGACCTGACCACCTCTGGTCCAACACTGCATAACATGGCAAAATCTATAATTTAAAACGCATTTTCTTAAAAAATTCGCCGTGCCGATGGGCCACGAAGATGTGGTGTTCAACACATATATCAGTTTTTTACGCTTGAGGTGGTCCAGGTCAGCATAACAAGTTACTAGCATGCAACCTGGTCCTTTTGCACATACTTTAAAACTACGACCCAGTGGACCACCTGGTCCTCAAATTTTTGCAGGGACGTTTATAAATAACCATGTACACAACACAAACACAAAAACGGCACTCACGTACACAATACATTCACAAAAACGGTACTAGACTGTCTCGCTTTGATTTCGGAATGGTTACACATTGAGAAGTTAGCTTACTGCCAATATAGAAGTATTACATATATGGATATACTAAACAGAAGGTGAATTTTGAAATGAAGTAAGAATAATTGTTTACCGGCAACTCGCCAGGGAATACTTCGCAAATTTGACGTGAAATAGAAGCGCAATCAGTAACGCAAAGATCGTGGTTGTTCATTATACAATGTTGTAAAACCGATTCAACTAAAAGCTTGCGTAAATTATCATCCATGGTCTTTTGTTTCTTATATGTTTCAACCATGCTTTTGCCGTATGAATTTGAGTTAATAATATCAATCAAATTGATTGATGTCTTAGCCACCAGAACTTGACTATTGTTATCCGTTGAACTTTGTGAAATAACACCTAAATTGTTTCCCCGACCTTCACTTGATTGGGTAGATTTATCGCACTGAAGATGCTCGTTCGCCAAACATGGCGATGTAGTGGACTTTTCAAAGGATTTGATCCATTGCGACCATTGATAAAAAAACTCCATCGGACCACCAAGGGAAATATCAGTGTTTACAAAAAGATTTTCAGCAATTGTTTTTGATACGTGCTTTAGGATGCCTATAAACAATTGTTGCTCTACTTGCAGAATAAGATGAGTGCTAATATGAAAAATATAAAAAATGAATTTATTTGGGATACTTACGCACGAAGAAATCGTATAGATGTCCCAAATTCCAGCTGCATAGAAGAGTAGCTAATTCAGTTCGATCTTCATTGCTACCATAACGACTTTCCAATCCAAAAGAGTAATTCGGTCCATTTTTATCTTGAATTATGCTCGGTGAGCAAAATAAATCGTGCCCGTCGTTGTTGACAGTAACTCCCTTCAGAATTTGCGTCAAATGTGGTTTCATCAAAATTGAGGAAGTTTGGAGATGTCAATGCTTCGCTGGAAACAAACACTGCGACTGGTTCTACCGGTTCCATGACATTAAGTTTTACTGTCTTGCTAAAACTTTCCTAGAACTAATACTATATTATTATTTTGGGCTTGCATTTTAGGCGTTAACAAAATTGTGTTGGACGAATCATCGTTTTCCCACGCGTAGTTTTATGTGCATTTATTGGTGGACCAGACAAAATTTCAGCAGGTAAAACGATTAGGTCACGTTGATTTCGTATGTCAGGAGTATGTACTTCGTATGCTGCGAAATGTTTATTATATTGTTGTATTTTTATTCGCTGACAAATAAAATAAACTGAGTCGCACTCCGTGAAAATAGCAACTTCAATTATCTCATAAACTAAAGCATTTTCAGCACAAATTTTATCATCGTATTGAACAATGAAGCAACCTTTTTTGTATTTCTTAGAGCGATAAATACATTGGGAGTAGCAACGAAAACTAATTTTATTGATCTCATTTCGAGCGCAAAAATTGTAAATTATTTCTTCATATTCTGAATGAGGAATAAGATGACTTGGTGAAATGGAATACATTCCTTCCTCGGCATAAAGCAAAAACTTCGCAAATTTTAGTTGGTATTTTTTTGAAATGGATACACATATATTTCTTCGACTCGTAATGTTTCAAGCATATGCTTTGAAATCTTTATGTTTTGCTTCGAATCGAAATGACCAATAATGACGGGGAGGACCAGATTGCAATATTATAGAAAAATAATGTACCATAAAGTGGTGTTTCGGTTTAAGCGTGTCATTAAAAAACCGTACATAATCTTTGTGGTGCTTCGTTATAAGTGACTTTAGCCTTTCCGCCATTGGCTTCGAAATCCCATTTAAAAGAAGAATATCAATTATTTGGAGCAAATTCAAAAAAAACAGCCATACATGATCGTCTTCTGGTACAAGGTCACCAACCATGAGCGAAAAAAGGCGTACAAACGTCATCATTTCACGCGCAGTTATTTTTAAGTGATATTTTCTTAAATGAGCCAAAGTAATTTCAGGGGAAATATGATCTACTTCAATTTCACCATAATTAAGCATGAGCTTTCTCTCATTAAGAGTTTCTAATGAAAAATAACTCCTGGAAATAAAGTAATTTATAATATGACACATATCGTAATGGCATACTCCTTCAAAATGTCATGCATAATGTCGACAGCAAAGTTAAAAGGTACATGAAATGAAGTGATCGAATTAAAAATACACTCTTCTCTTACTCCTGTTGAATGTACGTCACCCAACTGCACATCTACATTGTAATCAACAGGATTTCGATGAGATCTTCACTGTGCATTTTATGAGTCGACGATTTATGAGTTTTGCAGAAGCGACAAAAAAAGTTACTATTGAAGGAAGGAGTAAAGCCAAGGATAGTGTTTAAGCCCAAGTTATCTCCAAGAATAAGTCCTAAAATAAAATGCACTGTTTTTTCACCTTCTGAAGTTGTAATAGTAACCCCGTTTTCTTCGAGGTGTTTTATGTCTCGAACTAAATTGCGAAGGCATAGCCAATTCCCGAATTGCTTATAATCACGACCCTGAAGTGTGGCTGCTAAATATATTTCAGAATTTCTCATAACCGGAAATGAATAATAAATAAATGTAACTGAACTAGTATGCGAACCATGAGGATTATTAACTTCTGAATCATCTATATATTAAAAAAGAGGCAAAACAGTTTTTCCGTTTTCAAGAATTGGTAAACTTATTTGTTTCCACAAAGAACCGCAAATAAAATTATTACCTTCTTCTAATGTTTTTGGGATGTTTTCTACATCTTTTAAAATTTGTAATAGCAGATCACTTTTTTCCAAAGCCTTCCGAAATTGAAAAGATAAAGGCAGAAGTACACCGGTGATAACAACTTCATCGTATAGTAAAACTCCCCGAGAACATTTTTCAGCAATCTCTCTGCTTATTACAAACTCCTCAAAATTACGTGCATAATCATTTTTATTAAGCCACTTAAATAACTGATATTCGTTTTCAAAGCCACGAAATTGATATGACATGGATTCGATAAATTTGCTCAGCAGTAATTGCTGTTCAAAACTATCTGGAGATTTCGAAATATAACTATTTTGTATGAACTGTTTAACGGAGTTTTTTATGGGATTCACCATGTCTTTCATTACGCTGTCTTGAATTTATACGACATCTTTTCGAGTAAAAGTATTCTTGCTGTGAAGTATCAGAGCAAATCCAATAAATCTTTCTTCGATTAAACGTTCTTGTGATTGAGACATTTCCTCGTTTAAACATTCTAACATATTATCAATCTCGATTACAGAATCGTTTTCTCTTGGAATGTCTGGTGTTTGAATAATCCGTGTATCTAAATATGTGGCAGAGCATCTAGAAGTACTTGGAGCGGCAGAATCAATAAAGGTTGTTTCTGTTTTTGTTTCGGACGCGTTTACTTTTTGCTCAACATTCTCTTGAAGCATGTGCTCTTGCCGTACATGACGTACAAAACAATTCAAGAAGCTGAAAAATGTATTGCAATATCCTCCAAAAGTACATTTATATATATCCCTTTGACCTAAATTATGTACCAGGCGAAAATGATACGACATACTACGGACAGAGTCCAAATTTATACCGCACATAAAGCAATCCATTCAACAAATGCACGCAAAACCAGCAAGCCCGAATTCAATTAATCTGCAAATATACAATAATACAATACATTTGTCGGGCATATGAAAACGATAATATGAGAACTGTTTTCATACGATACGCTTATTCCTTTAGTTTCTACCAATTAATCACAATTTTTAAATAAAAACACCTTGAAGAACCACGCTTGCGCCTTTGGTTGCATACGCAAATTAAATGGTGGAGTTCAGCTGTCAAATAGTGGTGTGCTGAATTGTCGGTACCCAATACGGTAGTAGTGTACTTTAGCGGAATTGTCGGTACCCAATATGGTAGTAGTGCACTTTAGCGGAACCAGATCAAAATGGACGGAAAAAATCGAGAGTGGTATCAATCGACGCGTCTTGACACCAATCATAATAATCCGAGACCCGAAATTAACATTTTTAATTAATTAAAAAGTTATTTGCAAATAAATAATAAAAAAAAAATATTCTCAAATAAATAAATAAAATATTGGGATCGATAGAGATGATTGAGCTGAACATAACGGTATATACTTTTTTTTGCGGAAACAACAATTACAAAAGTAATTAAGGGTCAAAGCTCAAATTAAACAATTTTTAAAATCAAAATTTCTTAAAAACGGATGCATTTCCTTAGTGCAGCCGAAGGCCTTCTACGCAGAAAGAAGTTCTGCGCAAAAATACTTGCGACTATTCAGATAAGACATGTTGTATATCAAATAAAAGCTCGATTTACACCCTTTTTACGGTTGTATTTTTATTTAATGTTAATGAAGTTACTTTTAAAGAAAAAACTACATTTGTTAAAAAAAAAATACTTTTATAAAACTTTTTTCATAAATTTTTTAAATAAAGAATAACATTATTGTATATCAAACGAAAGGTATTTTTATTACCTTTATAACGACATAAAAATCCTCGAAATAT